ACAAAATATCATTGGATATAATTAAACAGAAAATGTTTCATCACTTGGAATAATCTTTGGAATAATCTAAGATATTTCAGGATAAAATAAAGTCACATTAATAATAATAATAATCCTTGATATCGATTATGTAGGTCGATACTGGATTATTCATTCTTACCGCATAGATTATTTTAAAATTCATTAAAACAAAACATGTTTGTGTTCAATGTTAAATAGTTTAATAACGTAAAGAACAATATAATTTCATACATTTGGTTCCCTTGATAAATTTCGATAAAGAAAGGAAGACGAAATTTGCAGTATAAAATGATATTGTCATTCTACTTCACAGGTTCTCATCAGCTGCAGACTACCTGAAATTACAATGGTTATATAAATGATAATAACATACTTTAATGTTTGAGTGGTAGTAGAGAAGAGATACCATAAAATTGACGCATCCTGTTGGTTACAAGGCAAGCTCGTATAGCATTCAGCCACCACTGGGACCCGATTCAATGGCCCATGAATTCTAACTCCTACTAATTCGTGATTTACCGCGACCACCAGCCAGTCAAGTGTGAAGATGGACTTCCAACAGATGACATTGGTTAGTGGTTGCCCTAAATCACGAGTTGGTTGCAGTTAGAATTCATGGACTAGCCACTGGATCGGGTCCCAGTGGCTGAATGGTGTACGAGCTTGCCTTGTAACCAGAAGGTCCTGGTTTCGAACCCTGGGGGTGGGTGCGTACTGCCAATGATAATAATAATAATAATAATGATTTACTTTATTCCAAAAACAGTACTTGTGATACAGAATGGAATTTTCAGCATTAATCACAATATTGCATCTAATTTCCTCAAATTATAAATAAAAATTAATCACACAGAAAATTTTCCACATTTACAATAGAGGTAGTGTCAAAAACATGCAGCATATAAAATGGAAATAGCAATAATAATGATAACAGCTAGGGTAATAATAATAAGAATACAAGTGAAAATTGCCGTTGGCTTGTGTCACACAGTATTGGCAATGTGGTATAGAAATCCTAACATGTTTAAAAATATTGAGTATAATGTTCTCTTTACATGAAATGGTGAGGGGAAAAACAAAGATTACTGCCGTCATGGAGATAAGTTGGTGTTTGCAATTATGAGAGTAAAACAGAGAAGTAACAGGACCATAAATATAATAGAAGTAATAAAAGTAAAACTTGAAGGTATATAAGGATGGATGGAGGAAATCGTTTATTTACTAGATGAGGGAGAAAGGTTAGTTAATTCTTGTCTGACACTATTTTCATGACATAAAATACGTGCCAAGTATGGTATCATAGAATTTCTTTACTTAGAAGTGCGAGCATCCCAAACTAGGATGAAACAGCTGTCCAGTACTTACTGGTTTTCAATGATTCTCTAACTGATATCGATTCGGGGTCAAACTTGTAAAAATAATGGTAATAATAATCCAAAGATTCACTGCCAAAATAACTGAAAAGAGGGATATTATTTGAAACAATCAATATGAAAAATTCCAGAATCAGTCAATTGGTCAGTATATTTGTTTGAAAGCCAACTAGCACGATATAACTACTGCTCAAGATCTTCTCTTGTGGACTACACAACTAGTATAATAATGTTTATTTTAGTGACTCTGGTAACAGTAGTTTAGTAGTAGTTTATACTGAATCATACTGGTCTTCATTATTACATCGTATTTATCTTTTAAACAAAATTATTTTTTAAGAAATATTTAATAATTACGAAGAAAATAAATAGTGTTTCCTCTCTCCTCATCAGTGGATTTCTATACTTCCTGTTCATTATAACGCCTTTGTCTATTATTATTATCTTTGCATTCAATGTTCAATACTGTGTTGTTTAAATTGAGGTTTGGCGGGAAATTTAATACAAACGAGATAAAGAGTGAATAATAAGATGGTTCAACAAGACAGACAAACAGAAGCGAAATAAAATGAATTATTATTATTTCGAATTATTTATTTTTCTCATTTATTTAAAAAAAATTAATTAATTAGGACATTTAAAATTATTATTATTATTATTATCGTCATCATTTTTTGTTTTAATCAATGAAGGATGAATAAATAGAGGAAAAAAGGGGAAATATTTCTTTGTTTATTAACGGTTCATCAAACTCAATTAAATTAGACAGTGTGAGTGAGAATTCACTCGAATTTTTGGCTTTTTTAAAACAAGAAGGGAAAATAAAGGATATTCAATTTAGGATGTGTATTAGAGTGGAAAATTAATAGACTTATTTCCCACCTATCCACCCATCCTACAGACACACACACATATATTTCCCCACTTCTTCCTGTCCCATGTCTTCTTGACTACCTTAGCAACAAACTGAGAAGAGCTTTGGAAATAGTTGGCTTTGACCTTAAAATGTAAAGACAAAATGAATTGATTAGGTTATTTGTGTAAGCTAATCAGTATTTCTTACTTATCGTATGATTTTTATTGTTATTATTATTACTGTTCCCTTGAGTTCCGAGTGGAATATATGACTTCAGCAGCACTTCTCCACTTTGTCCTATATTCTGCTCTCCTGTTTAGCTGGACCCGTGATCGCCTATAATCTCTCATCTTCTCTTACTCACACAATCTCCTCCATGTCACCCCCAGGGACACTGCCAACTCATCATTTCCCATTCGAATTCCACTCGAGGTTTGGCCAATTGCACGATGTCATTCAACCGTCTCCTTAGCCTGTGTGCTCAATCCATCCCCAATTTTTTTTTACATATTTTTTGAGCAGTAGGTTCCTGGTTGGTTCCTAATCAGAGTTTTTTGTAGCTAATTCTTTCTGGCCATTTAATCTTCAACATTGAGACAGTGAAGGCAGTTATTGAGGAAAGTCCGTAACTCTGACCCATATAAAAAGAACTGACTGACCTAACATTAGTGTTGAACATCCGAATCTTGTTCTTTATGCTGAGTGCAGAAGGTCTGTCTTGCTTTTCCTATTCTGCTTTTGACATCCTCATCTGTACTGTATCACCTGTACTTAATCAATAGGATCATTGATACGAAATTCTCAAACGGATTAATTTTTATGATCCAACTGTTACATTAAATTTCCACTGTTTCTCTAGAGGGATGATTGTGGTTTTGCTTTGTGAAATTTTACCGTTCAGATATCAGTTCATCAGGAATTTAGTGCAAATCTTTCAGTACAAAGCCACATTTTAGAATTTTCCATGAGTCTATTAGTCATCTTTTCTGGTAATGTGGAACGTGACTGGTTGTTTTAGGAGGTTTCCCCCACCCTCTAGTGCACGTATTCAAAGTTGCATTCAAGGTTACCGGGAGAGACGGCCAATATACTCGTGGAGGGTTCTGAAAGTGCTAATTTCAAATTTAAGTCTCCTCTGATGTTTTCCAGAAAGACAATGAAAGCATCAAAACTAACCCATGCAGCTCAGAGAAATATAATCTAATTGAGCTATAAATCTTGTCTGTTATATTTTAACCAGTATTAGAAAGTGCGTGTTGATGAACTATTCTATGATGATATGGAAAACTCATTTTAAATTTGATACGATGATCTCTGTATGATAGTTACATTTTTCAAGTATTGCTTTGTAGGGCTTTTGTGTGATTGGTTGGAGGATGCTGACTAGTGACTGGCCCTATTCAGGCAGTTTACCTGGGGTTCTAGTGGGAAGTCGTGACTAGTAGGGTACAGCAATTCGAAGCTGAGGACAGTTACTCATCAAAGAAGATATAGTGAAGTGGTCGCGCTATGCCGTGAGATTGGAAGGAGTTAGAATTTATGGACCACTGGGTTGGATCTCAGTGGTAGGTGCGTACTGATGAAGAGTCCCAGACTAGGCTGACGAAATAGTTGTCCAGTACTCCCTGCAGGTTTTCTGATGGCTGTTAGCTCATCATGAATTCCTCCAACCAATCAAACAAAATCCTTTCTGATATTAGACATTCTTTGTGATTTCTGAAATTTTTCTGGATGATGATTTTAATATTGTCAAAAACCAATTTTGTGGCCTGATTCTATAGCGTTATGTGTAGACCTATGGTTGATGGTTTTTCAAGCTTTTCTAGTTGAACTAGATTTCTTGGTGGTAGATTATATGCCCTACGGAGTTCTTTTCTTCTGATCTTGACTCTTTGCAATGTTTGTCCGATGTATATCACATTATACTCGAAACATTTTATTTTGTAAACACAATTAGACTGAGAATCCTTTAGAATTTGGTCTTTTACATGGATTGGGTTGTTTTGTAGTGCGTCTAACGTTTTGAATAAAACACTGACGTGCTTACTGAATGAATGGCAACTGTTGAGGCCCAGGTCTTCGTAGTACGTTTTTGACCATACTTAATGCCAGTGTTGACTTTGTTGATGAAGTTCATTGGGTAGTTGTTTTGCTTGAGAATCTCAGTAATGTTTGATATTTCTTCATCATCCATTATCAGAGAGTGTCCTCGTCTAAGAAGACTTGAAACAATTGACACCTTCGCATTCATGGGGTGTGATGATCCGAAGTCTAAATATTTGTTGTGGGAGTGTGTTTACTTCCTGAATATAGATATACTTAAATGTCCATTTTCACTCCTAGGCAGTCTAGAAATGGTGGTTTACCGAGGTCTGATTCTTCGCCCGAAATAAACTGGATTGTGGGGAGATAGACTATTTATTTTCTCCAGGAATGAACTGTGTAGACCTCGTTTTAGTACTACAAAAGTGTCATCTACCTATCTTAACCATATTTTAGAAGTGAGTATGCTTGAAAAGACGGTACATTCGAATCTATTTATGAAAAGTTCAACGACCATTGGAGAAACTGGTGAACTCATAGCAACACCATTTGTCTGTCTATATAAATTCCTTTGAATGTAAAATAATTAGTTTCTAGACTGATTTTTAAGCTTTTAATAAATTTCACTGGTGTCCAGTGGACATCTTTCTGATACCGCCATGTCTGATTCATCATTTTATTATACTTTCTTCTTCTTCTTCTTTCAGAGCCTGTTCACTGTGATTTTAGAAGCCTACGATTTAGTTAGTCAAAGTGAAAAATATTTAATCGATCGAGCTGTTCATCGTGGTTTACTGCGTCCACAAATTTATACCAAACAATCGAATCTCACTTCTGAATGGCATCAAGTGACTATTTCAACTCAATATTCTGGTTATACATTTTGTATGCGATTAACCTGTGAACCAAATCATTATGGGAATGGTTGTACAAAAGTCTGCCTGATAAATGAAAGTCAAACAAGGTATAAATGTGATCCAAATGGAGATAAAATATGTGAACCAGGTTGGAGTGGTGTTGAATGTGATAAAGGTAAGTTCCGGTTACTTGATTAATATTATTATTATTCCATTGGATTCCTAATGAAACATACAGCTGGCTTCAACAACACATTTCCACTTTCTTCTATTCTCCGCTGTTCTCTTCAGCCGGCTTCCTCAACGATTAAGCATAATCTCTTATCTTCTCCTCCCCAAACGACCTCCTCGATGTCACCCTCGTTATGGCGACTCAATCGTCACTTTCCATTGGGATTCCACTTGAGCCATGGCATGCATTGAGTGCAGTGTCATTCGGTGGTCTACGAAATGTATCCCCTATCCATCTCCACTCTCTCCTACATATTTGTCGAGCAATCGGCTCTTGCTTGTTGGTTTGTTCCCAGCGAGAGTTTCTTGTTACCGATTCTTCAGTATGGAGCAAATGCAGTTGTTTAGGAAAGTATGCAACCTGTTGCAAATACTTTTTGTTACACGCTGGTCAAGTTTCTGACCCCTTTATAGAAAAAGTGACTGACTGACTTCACATTTGTGTTGAAAATCGGAGTCTTGTTCTCTATGCTGCTGAGTGAGCACAGAGGATTTGCAAACTGGCTTCACGTTTAGAAAAGCGTATCTTGCTTTTCCGATTCTAACTTTGACAATTTCATCTGTTCCTACTGTCTGTAGTTGAAACGATGCTTCCTAGATAAGTGAAGGAGGTAACCTCTGTTAAATCTCTCCCGTTGATTACGATGATTATTTTCACAGTATTATATATTATTATTTCTAATCATTCTGAGTGGAACATAGGATTTTCACGGTTGTCTGCCAACTTTTTCAAATGGTTCCACATGTTTTCATCCCCTCAACAAATCAACTCCTTGTCGATCGAACCTGCGCCAGACTTATCACTTTTCAATGTTAATCACTGATTGATATCAGTTAGAGAACAAGTAAAAACCACAAAGGAGTACTTATTTGAGATTCACTGACAGTACGCCCCCACCAACACAGTTCGAACCCAGAACCTTCTGATTAAAAAGTGAGCTCTTCAACTATTTAAGCACAACTCAATGAATAGTCCATGAATTCTAACTTGTACTAATTCGTGATTCTAAGGATATTAATCCGTGATCAAACTTGAAACAAAATCTTGAAAATTTATCTGATGGTCGCTAGTGACTGGCTGTAGGAATAAGTAGCATGAAGTATTCTACTGAGAAGTTGTGACAATTGCATTTCACTAGGTTGTTAGTGGGGATAAATACTCGCCAACAATAACATTGGCTGGTCCAGTTGCGCTAAGTGCATCATGAGCTGGTAGAAGTCAGAGTTCATGTACTAGCGGTTGGGTCATGTGGGTCCCAGTGGCTGAATGGTCCACGTGTGGTGAGAGCTGGCTGCTAGCCAAAGTTGGTAGACAGTAATTTACATCAGTGTTTATGTCCCCAATATTGGCCATGAGAAAAATAAGAACAAAGACTTTGAGTAGGCGGATACAGTTAGCATATAGATGATCTGACATTCAAGAAACAGCCACAAAGAGATGAAAGATTAACTTTCAGTGAGAAACAACCAATCAGAGGACTGTGTTTGTTTGCTTAAATAATCTATAATAATGTACTTGTAAATACACATATATGTGTTGACTTCCTTGGTAAACGATCTGTTGCCTGGCACTTGTCTTCTGTTGTTACGCACGAGCCTGACTTGTAACCAGAAGGTCTTGGGTTCAAACTACTGTAGTTGATCCATACTTCCTGTGATTTCCAAACTAGGACTAAACGGCTGACTATCCAATACTCCCCGGTTGTTTTCAATAATTCAATCTACGATCAAACCTGAAACATATCAAATCCCTACAAACAAACAAACTCATCACTTAATCTCTGGATTCTACTCCATCACCTGACTTGTGATATTACTCTGGTGTCTCTTCAGTGTGTTTATCCAAATCAATTCAATCACCGTCTGCACATTCGCTTGGAAATAGTTTCTTGATCTGGATCCTGCTAGGATCGAAACTGTTGAAGATCCTTAATGTGCTGTCCGGCACTCCTTGGTTTTCAATTTTTAATTTCTAATTTCATGACAAAATCTTTATTGAAATTAAGCGGGATCCGTACAAAAAAGAAAATCTGAAGATCGGAATTCAAGATGAACATTGTAGTAGAAATGGTGAATGTCAAATCATAGAAGAAATTTTTCAACAGTTTAAAGATTTTAGTCTGTCCACCAATGTATATATTATAAAAACAAGACAAGTAGTTCAGTGAAGAGTCCCTTTACGGTAAATTCTTTTTTACTTTAGCTGTACAGTCGCATTTATATACAATTTTCCCTCCTCATAAAAGTGGATAGTGAGCTGACACCAAATGGTGAACAATCAAAAACCTGAGATTACTGGATAGCTATTTCGTCAGTCTAGTTCAGAACTCTTCACAGAGGGTTCGAACCCAGGACCTTATTTATATATTTACATATATATCAAGAATTGGAATTCATGGGCTAGCCGCTGGATAGGGTCCCAGTGGCTGAATCGTCTACGAGGTTGCCTCATGACCGGAAGGTCCTGGTTTCGAACGCTCCGTGATGGGTGCATATTGACGAACATTCCCGAACTAGACTGATGAAATAGCTGTCCAGTAATGCCAGATTCTTCAATAGTTCTCTAACCAATGTCATCTGACGATGAAATCCTGTAACCAATTAAATTCCTGCAAACCGACCATGATACAAATAGAAACAAACGAAATTTCATATTACTTAAGAGTTTTAGAGGATAGATTGGGCAGAAAGGGTTTGTAGATTTAAAATAAGTAAAATGATTGAGTTGAAACCAATAGGGTCCTTACCATGATAACAGCAAATGGATGAAAGATTTTCTTCTGTAAACACAAATCCAGTTTTTCCACCTATATAGTCAGAGCTTCAGCAGTGCTACGGAGACGAAAGCGGATTGTCTTACGCAGGATATTTTCGATTTGTAGATCATCCTAAAGGAGGAGTGTGTTAAGATATAGCGGCTAGTGTCTACAATGGTGTTCAGTTATTGCACTTCTTATAGAGCTACTGCCGCCTTTCTGCAACCATGCGGTATGATATTGTTGAATCATTTCAGACAGGATCCACGTTGAACGACCAATACAACAGACTCTAAAGTACAGATGAACTAGTGCCTACACATACAAAGAAATGGTTAGATGCAAGATATTATCCTTTGAGCTTCAGCAAACCAGTAGGTGACTAGAGAATATTATTCTTACCTCTACTGAGAAGAAAGTTCTCCTAAAAGAAGCCGAAATTATCCTGTTATCAGCATCAATAAATAGGTCACTTTTGGAGTCAAGGTTCATATGAAGTCTCTTGTTTTTGAATTTTCTATTAATCTCTGATTTTGGTAATTTTTAACCAAAGGAATAAGACGAAAATATTTCAGACCTTATTTGGTAAATTTCCCAAGCGATCAATCAATCAATCAATCAGGGGATTTAATTTTTATGAATTAATCATTGCAAATTAGTTGAACTTAAATAAATCCCTTAAACCATCTGACTCTGATTGAAGAGGAAAAGATGGAGAGTTGAAGAATTCCCAATGAGACACAGTTCAGTCAAATTTCGAAAATTGAAAAACAAACAAACTTTTTATTTTTTAGAGATCTGATTGGTTTCAAGGTTGACGATGAATCTGTATCTCTTAGGAAACCACTGAAAAACAAAGTATGCTGGATAGCTGTTTCGTTCTGCTTTGGGACTCTTCAGTGGTAGTCAAAGGGCTAGTATGATAAACAGAAGGAGTTGTATTTAATCCGTGGAGAGAGGAGAAGTGGCGTGTCTATCAGCAGGCAAATTGTGAGACCATCATATTAAGATGAAGCATCAGGATGATAAGGTGGCTGAAGTAATACAGTGTCGATATGTACAATGTTGTTTGAGAGAAGTTCCTAGAAAATCAATTCACAAATTTTTTTGTTAGGGCGGTTACAGAAATTAGTAATAGTTAGGCAGTTAGATAACACAAAACCAAGGTTTGGTGGGCTAGAGGTCAAATGGAAAGATAAAGACGACGTAGTATCTTAAGGTCAAGAGGAATTGTCTCTTATCGAAGTCATATGGAAAAAGAAGGGTGGGAGTTGAAAAGATAAGTCAGTGAAACTAGAAAACAGAGAGTTATTAAGGGATGAATCGCCAAGCTATTTGAATTCCAACGACAGATTCCTTTTAGACACATAGATCAGGTTCCAGCCATTTTATTGGGATAGCCTCAGCAAACAGAAGAAGATTCTAGCTTTTTTTTGTCTGTGAGCTGAAGTCCACAACAGTTGGTTTAAGCCACGTAGGAAGGTGTACACTTCCTGGTTGGGGTCCTCGGGAGACAATCAGTTATATGGATAAAAATCGTTCTCAATGACTAGCGCAGATGCATCCACTCCTTGCGACTTATAACATCCAATAAAACTATATTGTTCTTCGATAACACCCTTCTTTTTCCTGATATCTCTGTTTACCGTCTCTGTTAGGCATTTCTTCTACTTTCTTCTCTTGCTTTGTGTGCTACATGGAGGAAGTGTGGAGACTTGAAGTGCTGCTGCACATCTGTGCAAAGTTCTACGTTGAAACCAGTCATTCAGTCAGTTAATTATTTTGAATGATACCAGCGCGTCTACTCTGTGTTTTGTATCTATCATGTTTTTGATGACTGAAGAGCTCAAGTTGTTCGCCCCGCTTAACCGGTAACTCCATGGTACATGTAGGATCTTCTTTCTGTTCTTCCAATGTAACTGCTCCATGAAATATATGTGAGTTGGTGTACACGGTTGGAGGTAGCATATGAGGGGTAATTGTCGATATTTGACTGGACTGACGAGGAGAATGTTTGGAGTAGAGAGACTAGTTTTCCTGCAGGATACAATCTGCGCAGGGTTGAACTCAATCTTTTATGTGTGATTCTCATAAGATCATCGCCTTTGATGTGCAGTTTAATGAAAACTGGTTAACTGCTGACCCTCATTGCATCAGGTTTCAAACGTTAATTCTTGCCATATTTGTTAGAAAACGGTTAATTAGTCTCTTGTGCTCCTACAAATGTCATCATGTTAGTGAAATTGTTTTTCTGATGTGTGTATTTCATAGACTGACGATTGGCAATCTTATGTAACCCTTTTTCCATAAACCTGCAGGAAGTGTTGAAATGCTTTAGCATGTTGTATACGTTCTGACCAAAGTATATAAGATAACGTTATTTAGTTTACTGTGCCTACTCTTTCTGTTCAAAGAATATTAGTTGAGAAAATGAAATCAACGACATTCTAAGCGACATTCTTTGATTACATTCAGTTTCGTTAAGCTGTTTCATACACTGCCCCCAGGCTAGCAGAGTTAACTTGACTGGGCACTAGTAACTGGTGTAATGTGTTTAGTTCTTTCATTGGTGCTGACTGAATTTTATTAGTCAATAAGGTTTGCAATATGGCAAACATTCTAGGTAGCTCTCCATCAAGGTGCATATTGATTTGATTATATTAGATGGTTGGAGGCAATCGGTAGGAAGCCTTGGGCTAGACACATTACACTAGTTACCAGTGTCCAAACAAAGTATCCACTACAGTCCTACAAGAGGTCAATCGCGAGCCAGGCACGAATAGCTCAGTGGTACCCTCTCTGAGTGCAGCTCTCACTGTGTGATGCGGGTTTGAATCTCAGAAGAGGCACGAGTTGTTCCTTCAATGTTGCAGATACGCCTTGGTGACTGACTGGTGAGTGCCAACTAGCACGAAACCTCTGTCAGGCATGGCTTCCTGCCAATCGCCTCCAATCATCTAATAGCAGAGTTACTGCCGACCTCAGTTCAACATGTTAGCTAAAATAAGATTAGTTCCATAGTATATGTCGACCCTAACTTAAGTAAGGCGCATTGCCGAGCTGAGCAGTCATGGGTTGCTAAAATCAGCTGTATGATGTTATTCGAATGGTCTGATTGATATTACCGGTATTGTGAACCTACCTAATGTGCTAACAAAATTACTCGAATCGCTGATCACGACGTCAGCAATAGCAACAACAGAAATAAATGTAGCAGCGACACGCAGAACAACGGAGAATGATAAGGAATAAGTTCCATTGGTGAATTTAAAGCACTGTCCATCAATGAGTGTTCATACTTCACAAACAGTGGGAAATATGAAAGGTGAATTGGGTGTGCCATAACCGCAAAATATAATTCTTTTATGGTTGTGAGGTAAGCTGGTGGTTACATAGTAAAGTCTGAACTCGACTCCCAGCAGATGTACTTCTTAACATCCCTTAGTTTATTAGCTCCTAATAAAACCCAGAAAACAGGGAAAGTTAGGAGTTAGGCTATTATTTCCACACCGTGAAAACAACGGTATTACTCCTGAAAGTGCCGTATTCCATTCGGAACTCAGTGGAATTAAAAGCACCTTCTCCTCGGAAAAAGGAAATGAAGCCACTGGGACCCACTCCAATGGCCATTCCAAGAATTTTAACTTCTGACAATCCAAGATACGGCGCGACTACTAGCCAATGTCGTTATTGAAGAGTATTCTTCTTCACACTCGACCTGGAATCCCAGTAGGTGTGCATCCTGAAGAGTCTTAAACTACGACGGAACAGCTATTCAGTACTTTCGGGTTTTCTAATGGTTCTTTAACTGATTTCAGCTCATGATGAAATCCTGTAACTAACCAAATCCTTGCAAACCAACACTTGAATAACAATGGATCAAGTTGGCCTTCAAAATTTAAACTTGGCCGTTGTTTACTTTTTTATTCTACTTGAAGGTACACCTGAGTCATACAAACAATGACTATTTCTGTCTAAAATGTTCAAGATGGATGAACTGTCTAAAAAATTTGCTTTAATAGAAGATAGTCATCGTAATACACTGTAGTAATGCGTGTATATTGATAGTTCAGAGGTGGAACGCTTGGCAACCAGGCAAATGTTCCGCGGTTTGGTCTCATGCTGACGCATCTCGAAACCTCACCTAGCTGATAGCAAGCCATGCCAAGAGGTGAGATTGGGCCTGAAGCTATAATGAAAGAAGAATACCACTGCTATTAGAACGTCAAAGCCTCGAACCTGAAACCCAATATATTGCACTTGAAAAGCAAGGAATAAAAAGACTGGTAATACATAAAAATAAATAGAGGAAAGCTATGTTGCTTTTGGTTTTCACTAAATGATGACAGGAATAATTTGAACTTCATGAGTAGTGAAACACATCTGGATCAAAAAATGTACATTGATTGTACAACAGTTAGTAACTAGCTTTATTGTATCTAGACTTTTGTTTAGTGCAGACCAAATTCTACCTTCATTCAAGTTTGCATTGTGGCTACGATATACTAAGTGGTTTGCCACCACGACGCATTGCACTGTGAATTGTTGATATTAGATGTTTGGAGGCGATCGGCAGGAAGCCATGCCTGACAGAGGTTTCGTGCTAGTTGGCACTCACCAGTCAGTCACCAAGGCGTATCTGCAACATTGAAGGAACAACTCGTGCCTCTTCTGAGATTCAAACCCGCGTCACACAGTGAGAGCTGCACTCAGAGAGGGTGCCACTGGGCTATTCGCGCTGGCTCGCGATTGACCTCTTGTAGGACTGTAGTGGATACTTCGATTGGACACCGTAAACCAGTTTAATGTGTCTATTCTTTTCTATGGTGCAGAGTGAATTCTATTTATTAGTCTGAAATCAGCCGAAGGATCTAGAGCCCCCAGAAAGAGAATAAAGATGGAAAAATATTTAACACTAATGTTGCATCATTACTTCTACATGGTTCAAAGATTTGTCGTCACCAGAAGGTTTTCCAATAGGCTATCACAAACGTTCATCAAGAGGTATCTTCTTTGACCCGATACTAATTATCATATAGCTGACCATAAAGAATAAACAAAAAGGAGCACTGCCAGTGAGCCAACCAAGAATTTATCGTCACACACATGTATGCAGAAGCAAATAGAAGAAGGTCGGAAATGCACTGGTGTGATTGCTGAGTAACGTTACACAACAGGTAGTCAAATGGAATCCAAATTGAGCATGGCTCCAAGGATGAAGTGGGCTGAGTGATGTGAAGAGAGATTGTAAGCTTATAGGCAATCATAAAGCCGTTTAAATAGGATGCAGTACAAGGAAGAGGATTGAGAATGCACTTTTGAAGACCGATACTCCATTGATGAAAAGACTTTGTCATAGGGAAGATCCATCTATAATTAATTTTTTGAATTTATAATTTCTTTCTGTTTACGCTTTAATGGCCAAATAAAATTTCTAACGAACATGTAACATAAAGATAAATTTTGTGAGTATTAATTAACTATGTCGTGTATTAATTTTTCAGCAATATGTAACGTTGGATGTCACCCTGTACATGGATCTTGTTCAAGACCAGGTGAATGCGAGTAAGTCCTGTGCAGTCAATATTATTGTGTCATAATGATTTATTTTATTTATTACATATTAGCAGTTACGTCACACAGTCATCGGTGAGATGCATAGGATATGTATTAGACACGACAGGTTACACAAGTATTAGGCATGTGGTAAGATGGAAACACAGCATCAATCCATGAAAACTTTGACTGCTGATTTCAGCTACACACACGGAGGTATAGACTGCCTAGTTGGTTCACTGGAACCAGGAAGAGTTCCAGACTATTGATGAAATGGCATTTAATGTGGTGTGTACTACTGATACGATTTATCAGTAGTATACAAAATGAGACATTCATCAGCACACAAAAACATGAAACAGCGAAGAGATAGATTTGACATCAAAAAGAGGAAATGAGCAGGTATTACGGCAAACCATGGAAGACACAAAAAGAAGACAGAGGAACACAATACGAAGAACAGAAGTAGCACAACACAGAAGATCTGTGCAAATGACGATTTTAATATATGGCATGCATAATTTCCCAATATGTGTGTGCCTTGAAACCGGAAGATTGTGGGTTCGACCAAGGTTAGTGCCGGTGAAGAGTCACAAACTAGAACGAAGTAGATGTCCGGTACTCCCTGGTGGTTTTTACCAGTGGTTATCTAACTGATTCCACTCCATGGCAAATTTTGAAACCGATCAAATCCCCAAAATATAACACTAAAATATTCCATAAATTTATTCCCTTCAATGAATTTGAATAAAGCAAGAGCAAAAGCTTGTGCAGAATAAAGTGTTATCATCATTGTTTATTTCGCGGCTTCCCATCATTTGCTTACAGGCTAAAGTCATTATTAAGTATATCTACAGAAACAATTTTAACATACTTGTACAGAGTTCATTTTAAACAAAAATCAATCAATCAACATATGCGTACAACAATAATATATAATAATAATAAACACTTTACCCTGAACAAAAATGATCAAACACAATAGAAACTTTCAACATTACGTAATCAGATGAAAAAGAGAGTGAAAATATTCAGTTACCAGGGCAAGGAAAGACTGATAACCGCTTCTTTCTGAATGCATATAAATCATGTTTCAGGCGCTTGATAAAGATTGCTTCGGCAAACTTGAAGAGAATTGAACTCTTTTGCCAATTAATAATTTTGAACGATCTTGTGAAATCCACCTTATGACCCGTGTCAAGAAGATGATTGAAGATGGCACTGTTTAAAGCATTTGTCCCCTTGAGACATAGACTTTTAGTACATGTTCAGAAAATCGTAGATATACCCTTCTTTCTGTCCTTCCAATGTAACTGCCTCCGTGGATATACGTAAATTTATATACATAGTTGGAGTTAACATGAGAAGGATATCTGTCGACTTTTGTTTGTATCAAATAGCATGTTGTTGGGTAGATGGGAACCAGTTTTTTCGCAGAATAGGTTCTGGCTGATGACATGTTCAATCTTCTATTGACTATACCTACAGCACTTTTAAAATCAACTTGAACGAAGACTTGTTTGAGGTTTGAGCCTTCACATCTACCATATTGGTGATAAAACTTTGAGGGTAACCATTTTTTCAACATTTTTTCGAGAAACATGAATTCTTCCTCTAGTTTCTCTGCGGAGCATATTCTCCTCGCTCTATAGTACAGAGTCTTAACTAATGCTCGTTAATGGCTATTTGGACAAAAACTATTAAAGTGTCAGCATTGTCCATTCCATGGAGGCGACTTTCGGTAAATTGACCCCGGAGACTACCATTTTCTAGGCGTTGCATCGTAATGTCAAGGAAATGGAACTTTCCATCATTTTAATGTTTCGCAGTAAATTTAATATTTGTGCATGCATCGCTGAATAATTTGAGTAAGTGTGAAGCGTGACTTTCATTGCTGAACACTACAAATGTGTTATTGACATATCAACAATAAGAAGTTATTTTGTCGATCGCATGCTTCAATTTTGTTTTCTCAAGGTTGCACAAATGTTTACTTATCACTCGGCACCCAATTATCTCGGATCACAGCTCATATAGATTACTAAAACATTAAAATTTAGCTAGACTTAGAATAATTGACCCTGATAAGTTGAATAACCTCGAAAAAACAGCTTGCCCATTGCACTGCATTTTTATTTTTTTTAAATATTTTTAAATTTTTTGATTACAGCTTGATTCCACACTGTATTTTTGGTACAAGTGTGGAATTTTCAGCGTGGATATCGGTAGCCCAAAATTCGCAGGCCAACCATAGATATCAGGTGTGCGTCGGCGTGGGCTCGAACCTCGGACCATGTGCATGTTCGGCGAGAGTCCTAACCACTGTGCCACCAACGCACATGCCTGTCATCACAAAATAGGATGGGTGGGACAGGGTGAGAGTAATTAAAAAGTTAGGTGGGGAGACAGAGAGCTGAAGCTTTGTTTATCGATTAAATACCAACAGCACACGTGGAAGCGGAATGAGGTAACGCCACCTATATCGGAGATATGGAAGGTGGCGAAAAACAACAAAGGGGAGTTAAGGAGACAGAAACGGAGAAAATATATGTATAAGACAAATTATGAAAACATTTGACTAAAGTTGGTATGATTATGACTGGCAGTAATTTTTGCTCGAAACCTTGACATCCAGTTACTAATACTGTATCATCACTGTATAAAATAATAATAGCTTTATCATCCACAATAAGTTTGCAGAATATGTGCAATTTTCAACGTAGTCGACTGCATAATATTTTCTATTCTTCGACGAGTTTCAAGTAAAACAGCCATCTTCAGTACATCATGTGACGCAGTGGTGTTAGATCTAAAGAATAAAAATAATCCTTTATGATATTTCTCTTTGGTCCTCAAGAATTCACTAATGGTAGGTTAAAAACCAATTATAAATGAGCATGAGTACATTTGGCGACCGGCAGACATAAGTGAATGATTATAACAATAAGAACTAAAGAAAATAAGATATATTATCCCATATATAAACCAAAGTAGCCCAGTGAGTCAAGCAGGCCACCGTTACATACTTCAGATAAACTTATCTAATATGGAATTACATTCTATTACAGTTGCCAATCCTAGAAGACCTGGATTTCGTGAGGGGATGATTTATGTTTGATGTCACACAAAATCGAAGACTTACAAACAAAAACCGACAAACTGGTCAAAGAAGCAGCCGGCGAAGACAGGACTCCAGATGAACATAGACAAGACGGAGGTTATGAAAATAACCAACCAACAACAGCAGCAACATCCAGCGCCAATCACCATGAACGAGAGGGATTTGAAAGAGGTTACTTCATTCATTCACTTATCTAGGGAGCATTATGTCAACTACAGGTAGTCGAAGCGGACGAGGATGTCAAATCGAGCAAGAATCGGGAAGGCGGGCGAGAAACACACACATTCACCAGCTTGAAACCAATCTGGAAATCTTCGTCACTCAGCCAGCATCAGTAACAAAATTAAGTCGGATTTTCAATAAAAACAACGTCAAGTCAGTCAGTGCTTCTATACAGAACGGATTAGAAACTTGGCGTGGGGTCACAAAGAATATTTTCAACAGGCTATTACAGACCTTCATCAACAGCAACTGCCTTCGCTCTGTACTGAAGATCAGATGGCCGGGCCGGAAAGAACCACCAACAAGAAACTATGGGAACAAACAAACAAAACAAGAACCAATCGCCAACCAACATATATGCAGGAGAAAGTGGATGGAGATGGATCGGTCGCTCGCTGAGGAGGCCGCTGGGTGACATCGCGAGCGCGTCAGGCCATTGCTCGAGTGGAACCAGGCCGAAAGGGAAGCAGCGAGTGGGACGTCCAAGAGTGACATGGAGGAGATCGTGTGAAGAGGAGTTGAAAGAGTATGGACTAACATGGATGCAGGTGAAAAGTACACCAGAAGACAGAAGCAAATGGAGACCAGAAGTTGAAGCCTTATGTTCCACTAGGAACCCAAGGGAACAATAATAATAATAACAGTTGCCAAATTCTACACTTACATTAACGATACTTACAGGAAAATCGATTCATACTGTGAAAAATAATCGGAAATCAGTCTACGGAGAAAAAAACACTCATTATCACTTTTTCTCTGATTTTATTATTTTGATAGAGAAAGAAAGACCAGATTCCCAGTATAAAATGATATCATCATTCTATTTCACAGGTTCTCATCGGCTAAATGCGAACCACTACCTGAAATTACAATGGTTATAAATAATAACGACATTTCATACTTCAATGTTTGAAAGGTAATAGAGAGTATATTATAAGATGAGCGCATCCGGAATATAAGTATTACAATTGGCTTTAGTTTCAGTAACCATCAATTTATATGCTATCAAACTATGGTGGGTGAGAGAAGACAGAAAACAGAAAAATCTAATGATTAGTATTAACCTGTACGTCAACATGCCAACTCAAGAAGGCTAAAGTTGCTTAGTGAGTTGAGCTCACTACTGTGTATGATTCACCAAAGGAGTGAGAGATTGACTGAAACGTTCGACTGCAATTGCTTCAGCAATAAACCGTAATAAAGTCGCCATCCTTTGTATGTTTAATATTATGAAGGATTTAGAAATCTCGACAAAATAACCCATATCCACATGGTGGGTGTCTGGTAATAGCACTTTGTAAATATCTGTATCCTTTTAGTCATAAGTTTCTTGGAATATATTCTGAAAACCGGATAGAAGTCCTGCCCCTCCTTCTGTTCTTCCAATGTATTTCCTCTCGCAGGTGCACGTAAATTTATAAATAAAGTTGGAGGTAATATCAACAGGGTTCTTATCCAGTTTCGATTGGTTTATAGAGCATGCAGTGCTGGAGGGAAGTATCATTTTATTGCTTGTTTCATCCTCTTGTAAATCTTTTGTGACACTACATCTCCTTTGTGAATGGAAGGCAAATGAACACTTTCTTCTTTTTAACTGTTGGATATTTCGCTTTCTTATCCTTCTCTTTGCTGTACTTTAGGATAAATCCCTTTGGATACCTTTTTT